CCTGGTGCCTGCTTGTCTTGACTGTTGTTTTTTTGAGACAGGGTCTCACTTTGTAGTTCAGGTTGGCCTGGAAGTTGCTATGTAGCTGGAGATGGCCTCAAATTCTATCCTCCTGTCTCAGCCATCTGGGTGCTGGGATTATAGGCATGAATCACCACACCTGGCCTCCACTAATTTTTTTGTCTGGACCATTGCAGCTTCCTAACTAGTCTCACAGTTGTCTGTCACTGCCTGTTCCATACTGTCTTCAACACTGCACCCAGCGTAAATCTGTTTAAAATGGAAATTAGATGAATATACACACATCTTCTTTCCAGAGACTGATCCATACCAGGCGTGGTCCTATAGCACAACATATACAGCTGCTGGTTCCTCAGCCTGGAAGAAACCTCCCCAGAATCCTGCACGGATCTCTACCTCATTTCCTTCATGTCTTTGCTTAATGCCAACTTCTTGGACAAGACTTCTGGGTCCACTCTGTTGAAAATGGCAGCCCCAACTCTGCTAACAAACACTCTGTATTCTCCTCTCCTAAAGTATTTTTTTCTTAGGATTCCTGACATAGGATTCCTTACATATTTACATCATTTCACGTAGATCTCATCTTAACAGGCTGTATTGAGGGTGGGATTTCATCATGCTCTTTTGCCATTGTTGTCTCCCCAGCATCTAGCATGGGGCAGACACATGATAGCAACTCAGTGACTATTGATCAGATGAGGGAACAAACTGGAGGAGCACAAGCAATACATTTGCTCATTTGCAGACTGTAATGACACAGACATTTGCCTTGTTCACTGTTCCAGCTGAGGTGTGAATAAAAGAAGGGAGGGAGAAGCCAGGTGCAATGGCTCAAATCTATAATCCCAGCTACTTGGAAGGCAAAGATCAGGAGGATCATGGTTTGAGGACAGCCTGGGGAAAACATTTATAAGATCCCTTCTCAAACAATGACCAGGTGCAGTGGCATTCTAACTATGCCTGGAAACAAAAACAGGAGGATTGTGGTCCAGGTAAGACCCTATCTCAAAAGTGGGCTGGTGGAGTGGCTTAAGTGGTAGAGTGACTGCCTAACAAGCACGAAGCCCTGAGCTCAACCCCCACTATCACAAAAAAAAAAAAAAAGGAAGAAATGATTTTTCCTTCCAGACATTTTCCTCAGCTTTTATAGATTTATATATATTTATAAAGCACACCAACTAAAAAAAAACCCCTAATATGATAGTTTGAACTTCTTTCCCTGGTATAAGTATTAGTCTATTCTATAAATGTATATTAGTTCTCTATCTTTTTTTAGGTATGAGTTGTCTTATTACCCAACATATATGATATATGACAGAACCTCAGATAACAGTGACTTATTAAAGTAGTGATTTATAAGGGGAGGGGTGGAGAGAGGGTTTCAGCAACACAGCCCGCCATCAGGACACACTGAATCAGAATCTGGGCCAGGAATGTGGGGAGCTGGAGGGTTTGGGACTGAAGGGGAGAGGAACTGTATAGATTGAAAAATTTCCCATGATGACTGTGATAAGCCCTGCCCCACTCTCTGGAGAAAAGTTGAAATGCAATGCACTTTTTCATCTAATTTCTTTTGCTAAAATTATTCACTGCTCACTATAAGAATGCTATAGCTTACAACGCTATCTTCATTGTTGACATTTGGATATTTTTAACTGTTTGCATGGCAAATAGCAGTGATGCATATCCTTGCCACGTGTGACCACTGCTGGAATCCCTTATCATTGTGCAGTGAGTGATGGCACACCTCAGTGTCCACAAATGAGGTGGACGTGTTCCAGTGTACACAGCTCTACTGTGCTGATGCAAGTTGGGGTGATGACCCCAGCTCAATGCAGATCCTTGCATACTCAGAGGTTCTTACAATAACCAAACAAAAACCACCGAATGATACCTTTGTTTCTCTTCTTCAGTCAACACAGGCAGTGGAAGGTGATGCCCCTAGTATGGAAGTATCTCCAACTGTTCTGTTTCCCCCAGTCAGAGGTGTGAGTCCCCCAGAGGCAACTGGCTTCTCTAGGGTGTGTGACAACCCCACTCATTAGGCACAACCCTCCCCCCATCCCTCCTACTCCCAGAACAGCAATCCACTCTATGACCTTGGGCAGTTCACCTGGTTCTTTGGCGTATGCTTTGCTTTATCCTTTCTTTAATTTAATTAGAGTAACAACTACTTAATTGAAATAATAAACTCTATAATGACCTCACTATCCTTTTGGGAGGAGGAATTAAATGAATAATTAAAAAGTTGATAAGGGTTTCAAACATGCAAGTAGCTAAGGGAAAGTAATGCCAAGTGATTACAAGAAGCTCTTGAGATAACACCCTAAGGAGGTGCTGAACTCATGAACAAGCAGCAGGTCACTTTGGAATTCTAGGAACCTGCTAGAAAGATAGCAAGGTCTTGGGAATGAATGACTGTGGAGAAGGGAAGATAGGGTTTTCTCCTGTGGTATTTTCAGACCCAAGAGAGACCAGATAGCAGCTGTCAAAGAACTTGTACACAAATCTGGTTACTAAATAAATGAGACTTGTTCGATTCTCCAAGGACAAAGCTTTCACTGAGTCATTACATGACAGACACCACACATGTGCACAAAGATGAAAGGGACAAGATCTCACTATGTAGCCTGGACTGGCCTCAGACTCTGGAGCCTCCTTCCTCCATCTCCTGAGTGCTGGAATTACAGGCACATCCCTGGCCCTGGAACTTAAATTTTAATATAAATAATCAGAAATAGTTCAAGTGCTTAATAGGGGACTGGATAGCTGACTTGTATAAGAGCAAAGAAACAGATGTTTGTAGATCCAAGGGAACAAGTAAGTTGCTAAACAACATTTATATTTTCCTCTAAGATGGGGCAAACTAGAGAGGGAGGGGAAGGTCAAAGGCTGGTGGAGAGTGATTTCTTCTTTCATTTAAAATGTTTAGAGCCATAATTCCTTATAAGTGAGTGTATCTTATTTATGGTGAGCCATTTTCCCTACATAACAAGACTGAAAGGTTGCTATTCTCTGACTTAATTACGCAAATGCAATTTTCCCTCTTACTCACTTGGTAATGTTTTTCTTTTTCTTCATTTCCATGGACACAAGCATTCATGTCACACTCTTTCTTGGAAGCTCTGCCTTTAGGATTTCTGGGCACTTTTTCCTAATGATGATTTGCTCCTAGACAAATCACCCCTATGCTACCTCCTTCCTTGGTTTTATTTATTTATTTTTTTGCTGTACTGGGGTTTGAACTCAGTGCCTATACCTTGAGCCACTCCACCAGCCCCTTTTTGTGTTGGTTTTTTTTTTGAGATAGGGACTCTCGAACTATTTGCTCAGGCTGGCTTTGAACCTCAATCTTCCTGCAGCTAGGATTATAGATGTGAGCCATGGCGCCCAGCAAGATGGTTATTTTTTTTTTTTATTTTTTATTTTTGGTAGGACTGACTGGTGTTTGAACTCAGCACTTCGTGCTTGCAAAGTAGGCACTCTACTGCTTGAGCCACAACTCTAGTCCCTTCCTGGGTTTTAAAAATATAACCTTTGAGGAGTTGGGGGGTGTGTGTGTGTGCAGATCAGTGGTAGAGCACTTGCCTAGCATGTGGGAAGCTCTGGTTCCATCCACAGCACCACAAAAACAATTAAACAAACAAGCCAAAGCAAAATAGGATTTAGGGCAAGAAAAAAAAATTTCCAACTCAGATTTCAGAATAAAAAGTAAAATACCAAAGAGGGGATGGCCAATACTTTACTTGCTGAATAAGGAGTGGAAGCTCACAATCAATGAATACAAAAAACATAGGTTTAAAAAGGGTAGGACATGAGCTGGAGGTATGGCTCAAAAGGCCTACCTAGCAAATGTGAAGTCCTGAGTTCAAACCAAAATAAACAACAACAAACAAACAAAAAAGGGTAGGACGTACTGTCCTCACACTGTTGTATTTCATGGAGTAATGTGAATTAAAGAAAAAAAGATATTTGTAAAAGTGACAAATATGACAAATGACAAAACATTGCTTTGTCAGGTCATTATAGCAAGAAAAAGAAGAAAAACATGAAGCTTCTCTCAACATAACATCAATCACCCAAAAATTGATCTCAGAACCTAGGACCATTCTTCAGGTTGACCTAGTTTTGTGAAAATAAATACATCTTTCTTTTGAAATCATATTTGGCTTTAGACAGAGGGAGGGGGACACCACATAAGAAGAGGCTTTCAGCTCAATTGGTAATGTTTTGTATCTTAAGCTAAATAGAAGAACATGGGTGTTACTTTTCATAACAATCTATTTGTCTTAGGTTGTTAAAAATGAATGCTAAAAAATGCCCATGATGGGATGGCTTTGGGAAATCACTGACTTCGTTAAATGCTCCCACTCCAGGATATAGTTAAGGAGCTCACCCAAGCAGAGCTCAGAGAGAAAGCCAAGGACTCTGTGTATTGTGTGCAACCGTCTCTGCATGCAAGCAGAGTTCAGATCACTGAGCTGTTAAGATAATACTTTCTGTAAGCATTTGTTTGCACTTTATCTTTTATTCCAAGTAAGGCATGAAATTATATAAAACTCAATTATTTTTAAGTCTATAGAAAGCATTATTATCACAAGAAATGCAAAACTAATGTTTGCCAAATTTCAAATACTAAAATCCTAAAAGCATATTGAATAAGAAACAGGCTTATATTAAAAAGTATCACTCATGTTTTTCAGCCTTAAGTCATTCTAAGAGGTGATGAGGAACAGAGGAAGGTGATACCATCCTTTATCTTCCAAGAAAATCGCTCCACCGCAGTATCTATGGTAAGGTGGTCCTCAGACCAAGACGGTAAAGAATCTCTTTCACGTGATAATGTTTTGACAGGTCTCTTCTCTTTTTATTATCTATTTCTGATCATTGGAAATGTTAAGAAGAAAATGTCATACACACACATTAAAAAAAAAAAAAAACTAAAAAGGAGGGGAATTCTGGATGCATCCATTACATACCTGACGGCGAAGTATAAAATGGCAGGACCTGGCTTCTTGGGCAAATCATGGTCAAGAACTCGGTGATCTAACTGCAGCCAGTTCTGCTGGCCTCTGTGAAAGCAAAAGAAAGGGTCAAACAGAAAGTTCAATAACACATAGTGCTGGCAAAGCTGCAGGGAAAAGTTACTCTCATACATTAATGGCAGGAGTGTAACCAGCTAAAGCATAATGAGGCCAATCCAATAAGTTCTATCAGAACTGTAAACATCTCTGTTACATCTCTGAACAAGCATTCCCATCGCCATGAATTTATCAAGATAAATCTGCCCACTTGAAAAATGACCTATATAAAAAAATTTCTCACTGTTACTTTATAGTAGAATAAAGATTAGAGACCACTGCTTGCTGTGGTCATACTGTGGGTAGGTTATTGTTAAAATAATTATGTAAAACTATACGGAGAAATACAGTGCAGTCATAAAAATGCGAGAAAGCCTGTTTACAAACTTACATTGAGCAATCTGCAAGATACAATATAAAACAGAAAAGCAAGATACAGAATAGTAAGTGCAGGATATTTCATTTTTTATTAATGGAAGAATTGACATATATATATTTGCATGCATATGTCAAAAATCTCTGAGAGAACAAAGAGGGAACTGATAATACTGGTTGCTTTGGGAGGTTATAAAGTTGGGCAGCTTAATATTAATTTTAAATTCTATAAAGTATGAAATATTTTAGTCAAGAAGCGGAAACATCTGGTTTGATGAAATGAAATTCACTACAGCTTTTAAAAATGTCCAGGGCCAAATGCTCTCTCTGTTATTTCTGGGCTCATGTTACAGACTTACAAATACTAGTATTTGCCCTAGAGCCTCACCAAACTCACAGGTATGAACAGTTCTCTCTAGATTTTGACCTCTGAGGGGTCAAAAGTGTTGGCAACATTTGGGTTGTTTATGTGACTTTTCTAAGATTGTCAGACTAGTCTGTCCATTTTAGAAACCATTTTAACTTGCTTACATAAAATCCAACTTAAGAGCATGCTGATGGTGGAGTGGTGGGTCAAAATGCAACAAAATCTATAATGTACTGGAAGAAATTTTCCAAACTATTTTGGTTCTTGAGTAAATAATTTAAAAAACAAAAGCAGATAATTCTAAGCTGCATTCACTACAAGTAGATAAGAAAAATATGTTAAAAAAAAAACCCAAATAATAATGAGAGCTACTCTTTATTGAGCAACCACTCTTTGCTAACCAAGCTGGAACCTTCTATCTATTAAAGCAGTATTTCACAGTAAGTCTGCAAGGAAAGTGGCAGAGCCGGGATTTGAACTGAGGACTTTCAATATAGGAGAAAATAAAATTAGCGTGTTGGTCAGCTTTTATAATAATTTTGGGCTCAGTGTCTGAAAACTGTATGTCTTTGTTTCTGTCATTACGAGAGAAGGTTACTGATAATGTTGTAGATTCTTTGGAGGATCATTATACAGATTAGTAAGCTGGTACACAGAACAGAAGGGGAACTTCTTGGAACTATGGCTTTTGTGTAAAAAGTTAAAAAGAAGAGGTTAAGGGATTCTTGCACTATATTTCATCAACTCGACAATATCACTGATTTAAAGACATCCCGATTTCAGAGCTGTTCAAATATATGTGTTAAAATACATGAACTGTTGTACAGTACCAGTCTTTAAGATTCTCCTCTGGCAAATGAAACTAACTTTGAATTGTCCTTTATTCTTCTATTACAGAAAAGATGTAGCATCAACTAAAACCCATAAAGCATATTTATGTGAACTTGCACGGGACGTTGTGTAAGAATGAATGAAGCAAGTTGTACAACAATACATGCAGCAATACCAATTAGGTTGGCCACACAAGCACAGTCAAAACACATTAAATATGGACGACATGTTTTAGGGTCAGTTCTGGAGAGGTACAGAGCAAGTTGTTTGTATTGGTTATGTCTACAGAAGAAACTACAATTGGAGTGGGGAGGTAAGCAAAAGAGACTGGCCTCCACATGATATTCGTTTTCCATATGGATATTTATGTGTATGTAACATAAAATACATTTTAAAAAGTTTTTTGAGATGGATCTCACTATATAGCCCAGGCTGGCTTCAGATTCTTGATCCTCCTGCCTTCACCTCCCAAGTGCTGGGATTACAGATGTCCGTCACCACACCCAACCTAAAATATTTGTCTTAAAGTAATGTATTAAAAAGTAGATTTTAAAAGTCTATTTGTAAGCTCTTCAACAGGAAGAAATCCTGAAGAAAAAAAGAAAAAAAAATGAAAATTACCCATAATTCTACCACTGCTGTGTCACCAAGGATACTTATTGCCATAACCTGATTTTTTTTCAAGTATTTTTATCAGCAAATAGAATAGTTTTTAATCAGCTTAAAAGACAGGCTGACCAACTATAAACCAATCCTATCCATGGAAGGTTCATCTTCTCAGGCCCATCAGAAGTCACAGTTGTGTTGTGAAGTCTGTTCCCTGTTTCTTCATCAACAAGGCTTACTCAGCAAGGTCTTTCAAAATATAGGAGAGAAACGAAATGGGGGAAGGCAGGGAAACCATTGTAGAAGAACCGAAAGGCCACTGCCTCAGGAGGGCCGAGACTGCCCTCTAGGCGTGTTAGACGCACCCTGCACACAGAGCTTCCGAAGGCACAGGTGGAACCTCAGGAGCTCCACCCCTCACCCTCCATTCTTTTTCTGGACTGATAGCACTACTTTCATTCTGTAGCTGCAGGCTATTTTGCCATTTCTCTTCTTGCTCTGGGGACTGGAGTACAGACAGCAGCTAGTTCCATTGACAAAATGTCCCTTTCTATTTACAGAAGTTCACCCAAGGTACAGAGCTGATGTGGCATGTGGGCTGCAACTCAGCCAGCATCCTGGGAGAGATTCCACTCAGTGGTTTCATGGGGGCCAGGGGAGGGATGTGCTGAAAGAAGACACTTTCCAAAAATACTTCCCAGACAAAGAAAAGAACTAGACTTGTGACCAAGACATTCCAAGGAGACACCCTTAGACATAAGCAATTTTCCAGGCCTGTTCTCCGGAAAGGTGGAAACAGCCAATTCCTCCTCTCAACGCCCAAAAAAGGCCAACTCATAGATTTTTCTGAAAATAAATGCAGCTAGAGCTGGAAGACACCTTCTCCAACTGGTCATAACTCAAAAACGAGCAGAGCTGTCACCTGCAGGGGAGCACGAGGGGACATGCTGGAGCCAGGGTGCTTGGGAAGACTGTGAGTTTTGACTGCTATAGGCCAGGCAGATACCCGGAGAAGAGCTTGAGTGAGCCATTCTTCTTCCAGAGTGGTTTTAGAAAGAAATCCCAGGGTAGACGAGGAGGAGGGTGACCCGCACTCTTAAAGGAAGCCATTCATCTTGCTCCCTTTCTTCTGAAGAAAGCGTTCACAGTGCCTGACTTACACACCATCTGGCTGATGTTCAGCAGAGCTTAGCATTTTCCCAGAAACCCTCCATGGGCCCAGGAGACTCCCTTCCAGCCTGCCGTAAGCCTCATAGCCTGAAGAACCTCAGACACTGCTGTTCTAAGTCCTGTTCCTCCTCAGTGTGACATGTTACAGTGGCCTGGAGTGCCTCCCAGGGTTCACCTGTCTCCTCCTCCTGTGCTCGACTCTTTACTTCTTGATGAGGACACTGTCTTCACATTGGGCAAATGTACCATGTTCATTATGAGTGTCTGTGCATTTGCCCTCAAATGACTCTTGCCTGGAATGCCATCTCCTCTTCCCTGGGTGTAAAGTCTACCTGCCAGGCCCAATTTTAGTGGTCCTCCTGGAAGAAGGTCGCTCTAGTCTCCTGCACAGGCTTTTATAGTTAGGACTGCTACCGGTGAGTGCCTGCACTAAGGTCTCTGCATGTCTTACTTGATGTGCTGGTGGTATAATAATGGTGGCACTCCTATTCTAGATGCCTGGTCCTTACTACAGAGGCATTATTACTATGTCCATGGTACAGGGGACAGAATTTGAGTGTCAGAGATGTCAAATAACTGCTCTAAAATCATACAGCTCCCAAGATTCTGTGAGCCTCCCTCTCAACCTTTATCTTGTACCACTTTCCCTGCTCTAGCCACATTGGCTTTTGAAAAAAACCAAACAATAAAATAAGTAGCCAAAGTCAAGCTCAGTTTTACCACAGGACCTTGGCACTGGCTTTTCTTAGGATTGCTTCTCCAAACTTTTGCAGAGCTGGTTGTTGCTTTTCATCGCATGTTACCTCCAAGAAACAACCCCATCTCACCTTGTCTAAAACTCTCCCCCTTCACGTCCCCTCCCTGCCACTAGGTTTTCTTCATATGGTCGCTTGTTTATGCTCTTCAGTGCACTTATTATTTCTGGTATTTCCCATTTATCTATTTGTTTGCTTGTTACGCTAGACCTCACTACTTTAATATAAATCCAGGAGAGTAGGGACCTTGTGTGTGTTGCTTGAAGTCGAATCTCTGGGACCTACAATAACACCTGGCATTTAGTAGGCATTCAGGAAATATTTGTTGGACAAATGAATTACTCCAGTATTTATGCTTTCAGCCTCAGCTCTATGTGACCTCCTAAATTATGGTGTAGACAGAAATTATAGTTTATACCATATAACTTAGCCATTATGTATTCATGGTTTTATGCCATATACTGTTTTCTATTCTTTCATCCACATCCAGATTCAACATGTGTGTGTGTGCGCATGCCTGCTTAATCACCGATTCACAGGAACTGGATGTGGCTTTCTGGCTAGAGCTTGTGGCTAATGGATACCTGCATTTCCTATCTGATGCAGCAGAGGGCAGACCACAGAGTCCTTCAAACAGCTGTTGAGTGAACAGAGCCTTACATGATTGAGAGTGAGATGGGTGATGGCCCATGTATTGATTTCTGGTCTGTTGAACCCCATTGAGGAGGTATCCTGAATCAAGAATAATTGTTTTAAGGTTGCTCTACATCTTCTAATAGCTCAGCTGCAGAAGTCTTGAGGGTTTTATGTAGCCTTCTTGGAGGTCCTAGGCCAATGGCCCACCCAGACTAGAAGTCATTAGAAGCCACAAGGTGTTAAAACCAAATTAACTCTTTCTTGAAATTACTTTCCACCTGGTTGAACTGAAGAATTAAAGAAACACTTAAATTGGGAGAGTTATGGGGAGAATGCTGGGTGGTTAGCCAATATATTTTGTGTCTGGAACATATTTTCTTTGAGTTTTAATATTTAAGGATCCTATTGGAAATTCTCTCCAGAAAGGGAAATGATTTCTCTGATTAAGTAGCAGACTGCATATGAGTAGATAAATTAGGCTGACAGAAAACAGACAGAGATAGATGGACACAACACACATACACAGAAAAGAACTAGTAATTCCAAACACATTCATGTACATAGTTTGAAATTCTCTATGAATTTATTCTTGAGAATAGATTGTACCTGCCTTATTTCAGAAAGAATTTAAATTGTCGACGCACACACACACACACAATCCAACAACTTAGCATAAAATATGGAAGTAAAAGAAGAAGAAAATGAGAAACTAAAGACATTTTAAAATGGACCCAATTGTAGTGCAAAAGTTCATTTCATGTTAAATGACATATATTTTATGTGGGCCACAAATTTGCATTTAAACTTTCTTGCCACCAATACCAAAACATCAACTTAGTTTTAAGATGTGACAGAACAAAAACTGGTGTTTCTATCATTGACACATGAGCTAAAGTAGCAATCATTACCACATTCAAAGACATAATGACAGACTACAGCCAAGAGAAATAAACTCATTACCCCAGATTTCTAGAACACTCAGAACAATATTTTGAGTCCTTAAAATGGTCAATATTCCTTTCCCTTTGTCATAGTCATAGGAAAAAAAAGTCCCTGTATTGAGAAACCTTTAACTATGCAGGACACACTAACATACTTAAGAGTACATTTTTGCTTTTTTTGTCAAATGTGAACGGCAACAAGTAGGTAGTTCAGGCAGAAAAGTAAAGGAACGAGAACTATTAAAACTTACGTGTCATCTATAAATGTTATCCCAAAGTACTCCTTTTCTTTCAGGTTGAAATGCGAAGCTACCAGGTCCAGCAACTCTCTTGATAAAAGTTTGGGCTGTCAAAATAAAAACCTGATTAACTGTGATGTGGATGCCTCTGTCTCACTGCCACCACCTTCTTTTGCTCTGAACAGTCTAAGGCAGCTTTTGCTTACTGTGTCCCATTGGCCGATTGGCTGATCTACTACAGACATCCCCTAAGAACATGGGAATAAAAGGCAATAGGAACAGGAATAGGAGATATTTTCACTTTCATATATCTACAATTTCCCTTACTTTTTCTCTTTAAGGTAACAGATTACTTACTAGTATGTGAGTACTCTGGGGGAAAATACTTTTTTACATAGACCATGGTGCTAGCTAACAAGACAAAGCATATTAGCCACTTCATTGCCCAGTTATCTACAAACAATAAAAGATAATGGGAATAATTTTCATCGATGGTGGCCAGTTGAAGAGTTTCAAGACCCAAGGCTGGGGGTGGCTACAGATAAGTCTAACAACGATGACAACAATGACCCTTAACATTTATTGCGCTGAATTCATATCCATTATCTCATCTAATCCTTATAATATGTCCTTGAGGTGGGACTTTCATTTCCATCTTAAGATAAGCCAACCACGGTGGGCGTCAAGGCCTTGCGTGATGTTTCACTGTTCAGACGGGTGATGATTTGACCTATTTTGTCTCCTTCCCAATCCTGTGCTTTCCATTTCACTTTAAGGATGGAGTAACTATACCCATCTGACACAGCACCACCAGCAGTATGAAGAAGGGTCTATTTAATCTTTGAGCTTTGGGGAAACTCTGGGTCTGGTGTGAGGAAGCATGGTTTGTAATTTACCAGAAAATTCAGAGAATGACACTAGATTTGCAGGGACTAGGGAAGGTAAAGGAGACCACGTATGGATTCCTTTGAACTGTGAACCTAACAGTAAGATGAGCTGAAGGTTGGATATTTGCTTCTTAAAAGGAAAAAATGTACGTGATTTAAAGAAAGAAAGAAAAGGGAAGAAAGGAAGGAGGAAGAAAGAAAAGAAAGAAATGAGAAAAGAAAAGAGAAGAGAAAGAAAAGAAAAGAGAAGAGAAAGAAAAGAAAAGCAGCAGGCAGAACTCTGGACTAAAAGTTGTACTCTGGCGAAACTACTGTCATCTGTACTATTTTCATTCTAACTGAAACCTAAGCATAGTGGGCAAGGGACAAGTGTCAGAGGGAAAAGATTGCAGGTTTGGTGGAAGAGAGAAGTCTAGCCTAGCTTAGGTGTGCCTTATCTGTAGGGACTTCTGCCATTTCTGAAGCCTGTTGGTCCAGGGTATTGGACAAATAGAAAGTAAAGTAACAATAACTAAAACACTGTCACTCATCTAGTGTTGTGTATTTTATAAAGAGACTTCTCTTACATATATCATCCAGCTTGATTTTAACCACAATTGTGAGGAAGACAAGGCAGCCTTAATCCCAGTTCATAGCTGGTGAAACTGTGTTTAACCTGCACCAGGCCTTGTAGCTGGAAAGAGGCAGCGGGTAGATACTAACCTGACAATAACTCTCCAGGGAAGTATTATGGTCTCCAAATTTACCAAAAAGATTCAGAGAAGTGAAGTCATTTTTCCAAGGTCACACAGCTACTAAAAGCCAAAGCGGAGGCTGGAATCAAGTGTCTTTGAATCTATATCATCAGACTACAAAGACTTACATACAGATCAAGCTTGCTGGCTTTAAGGCTGCCTTTTCCCTTCACTCACTTCTGAGCCTTTGGCTTTGGGGCACAGTTAAGAAAGCAGGCTGAATGCACAACTTGAGGCTCTGAGAGGGAGCCAGAAAGGGGTCTCTCCTCAGGGGTGGCACCTACCTGAACCAGCAGTTCCAGTCTTCTGTCATCCGGGAGGTGCACCAGGCAGTGCCTGCCTTCTGTCATCTGTGGGGACAAGACAGCAAGAGCAGTGTCAAGGCCAGGACTGACCAGCACACCATGGGACTCACTTTATCATTCATGTGACATGTATGTGCTCAGCCTGAAATGGCTTTCTTAGTAGGCTTGGCCAGAAACAGACAATTATAGGGTATTCATCTGGATGTAAAAGAAGAAAAGAAAAAAAAAGGTAATTCAATATATTGAAAAAAATAATGCCAATACATGGTCTGCCAAGTTCAAACAATGCACACAAGATATGCTAGGAAAAGTAGGTCTCCTTCCAGAAGTAAGTACCATATTGTTCCTTTGATTTTTCAGGTGAAAATGCCTTTAATGATGGCTGTGTTTAATAAATACAATACATGCACTGTCACAAGAAGAAAAGTGTATGAACTAAAGTTAAAATGGAAAGTCTTCATGTTTTAAAAATTTTCTTCCTTTTAGTATGTGATCTCAGTTAAGAACAGTTAAGATACAAAAGAAAGAACAATTTGATATATAAATTTCCAATAGCATGTAAATTTTATCACTTAAAACTGTATTACTAGAAAATATTCTTTGTAAAATATTTAAACAAAACATAGAACACAGGCTGGCAGAGTGGCTCAGGAAGAGCTCCTGCCTAGCAAGTGAAAGGCCCTGAGTTCAAACTCCAGTACCACCAAAAGCAACAACAATGCCCCGCCCCCACCAGAATGCAAAGAATGCGCCCTTGATAAACTCATACTCCAAGCCATTTATATCTGTGGGAATAGTGTCCTGTTGGTTGAGAAGAATCCTCACGGACCATTTTTATATATATTTTCAGATATACGTGTTTACAGATTTAAAAATGCATTTCCAAATTAAATATTCTCCTTTAATAATATATTAGACATAATGGTGTGCAAATGAAGTAGTCAACATTTTTTATTTATGTGACCATCCAGAATTGATACATATATATGTGTGCATCTATGTATCCCTGTGTGCATAATATATATATATATACATCCATACATATATGCATATATATTATCTATAAAATTTCTTTTTCAATTCAAGTGGTCAATGCTATAGTCACTGTTTTGCCTCTGGCATTTTTATTTCAGCATTTCTTGAAGATCTTCTGAATGTCAGTGCATCTGGACCTCATTGCTTTTGAAGCTCCTCCACGACCGAGCCATCATGTGACTACATAATAACCTGAGGAGTCTCCTGGTGACAAACTCCTCAGCTGCTCCAGTGTTTTGCTGCTCTGAGCAATGTCACAATGAACCTTGCACAGGTAGTTTTGTCCATGGATGTGAAATTTCCATGTTGGAAAAGCATGGGCAACAGTTTGTCCCTTAGGTATTATACACAACTCAGTTATAAGCCCAATTTAAAAATACAAGCAGGGTGGGAGAGTCCCAGCCACTTGGAAGGCTGAGGTAGGAGGATCATTTGAGCATAGGAGTTTGAGACTAGCATGGAAAACATAGTAAGCCCTTGTCTCAGAAAAAGAAAAAGTAAACCTTTTCTATTGCTGAGAAACTCCTGTCCACTTACCATTGCTCTAGGTGTCTTTTGAGTATTATCTCTTTCAGTTAGCCCCACTTACCAGATCAGGAAGTAGACGCTCACAGTGGACAAAAGCAATAGGTTTTCAATGGGAAAAATTGTTTGCACTTACATTTCTTAATGAACTGGCTGGCTGGTGGTATCATTGAGATGAGGGCCATAGGAACTGCTGAGATAGTGCTAGGAGGAAAGCCTGCAAGCTCTATTGTGTTTCACGGCCATGTTCCTTAATTCTGCAAGGCCAAGGCCAAGTGCATGCATTTGATGTCACAGGGAGAGAGAAGGAATTTTTTTTTGTGTCTAGGCACTGATCTGTACAACTATTTACACTATTTCATTGAAGCACCAGAAAAATCAGTGACAGGGAAATGCCCCCACCATTTTACCAACCTATAAATCAAGGCATTGGTTTTAGGATAATTTATTCAAAGTTACCTGGGCAAGAAAACAGCCAAGGCAAAATTCTAATTAGGGGACTAGAGGTGGTGCTCGGTGGTACAGAATTTAACTGGCACGTTCAAGGCCCTGGGTTTTATCCTTATCAAAGAAAATTTTAAAAAGAAAGAAAAGAAAAGAGTCATCCTGGTTTTTTTTAGTTTTATATACTATAAGAATAAATAAACAAACTGATGTGTCAGTTTAAATCATTTTATTTCTCCTATAGAACAACCTACAAAACTAACACCAAGTGCATGCCCTAAGAAAGGTATGATAAAATAATGCTCAAAAGATCACATAGTAAGAATCTATTAAGGAAAATGTCATAACTCAAAATATTTCAAGCTACTCTGATGTCCCATAATCCAAATAAATTTACTTCTTGAACTCTGCTCCAGGAAAAAGCACCATTTTTTTCCCACTTTGTTTTGGAGCTTCCTTCAACTAATCAATAATCCTTTTGTCAACACATAATTGTATTCTAGACTATTAACAAATGCCTTTTTGATGTAGCTAACCATCTCATAACCAACATGGTGGTGGTGGTGATGCTTTTGCAACTTGGTATCCATTCCTTTTGGTCTTGGTGATTGAATCAGAAATAGACACCTGACTCAAGCTGGGCCAATCAGAATTTCAGTGTCAGGAATATGGAATTAAGACTGAGAGGATAAAAACTTGGTGGCTGTGGGAGAGCCATTGTGTGTTGTCTGTGGAGAAAATTATACTGAAAGAGTAAGGGAAACAAGTAGCTAGAAGGAGGCAGGAGAAATCAAGTGGCCAGAGAGGAAAAGCTTAAAAGAGTTGTTTTCAGGATTCCTAACGTCTTTCTGGTCACCCCTCTTCCTTTCTACTGGTCTGGGTGAATTCTTTTCATTGAGTTCCATGAGACAACCTGGATTCCTAGAACAATCCATGTTTCTTCCTCTCTTTAGCTTACTTGAGTTGGATTTAACTTCTTTCAAGGAAGAGCATCTTGTAAGATACCACAGGTTTCTATACCTAGACCTAAGTAAAAGTTTTCCAAGGACAGATTCTCTAAATGATGTCATTAATGTTGTAAAGTTGACCACTCACAAACACAGATGCTTCCACGGGTAACAGTACAGCAACCAAGAGAGGCTGACGTCCGGAGAGGGCAGTAAATGCACAGCCCACTGTGTGGTGTGCTGAGAGGCACACAGGACCAGCTGAGCTGATGTGCACACAGAGGCACATGCCCTGTTCAGTATTCCCTGAACCCTCTCCTCCTCAGGAGGATCATTCTGCTGGGAGGTCAGGGGCCTTCTTTGATTGTCACTAGCAATGGAAAGGCCTACCCTTGTCACATATTTAAACCAGAGGGTAGAAAGTGGTGGGTATATTTTGTTTGGTCAAACAATGTTGATGAATATATTGTAGTTGATAATATTGGAAATGAGGAGATATCACATAATAACAATTCAGGTGGAGAGCTTTGTGATAAATAGGACCTGGAACCCTGGGCTTCATTTCCTCTGTGGCAATACTTGGTGAGGGCAGGGCAGCGCAGGTCCCTCTTAAGATGGAGTTTGTGGCCTCTGGATCCCATGAGTATATGACCTGCCAGGACCCAGGAGTCCTGTCATCTGAGTGAGCAAACCCTGGCCTAGAAAGTACATGTGATACCATGGAAGAGACACAGCTATCACCAACAGAGGCCCTGCTGGGCAGCAGGCAAAGGGCTTGACATTCAATACTCGTTAACATATAGAGCTCAACTCATAAGTGAGCCTTCGGAGGGGGCACCCTTGTTGCAAGCACCAGACACACGAGACTTGAGAAGCGATGTAACTTGCACAGGAGTTCTAAGCCAAATTAACTGGCTTAACATCTTGCTTTATTTCTCCCATCCAAGTACTAATCAGGCCCAACCTTGCTTAGCTTCCGAGATGAGATGAGATTGGGTGTGTTCAGGGAGGTATGGCCATAGACCATATTTTATTTCTTACTACCTGTGTTACCTTGGAGAAGTTACTTAACCTTTCTGAGACTCAAGAAATACCTTAATAGCTTTCAACCTGATACTCTAGAGAGAGATGAACCACTCTTGAGGTACATAGTGATTACAGCTTCTCTTACAGGCAGAGCATACGTAATATACTCAAGGCTACCCAGCTAATAAATACCAGTTTGAAAGCTGGCAGACAGATAAATTTTGTATAATCTGTACATGTTCCTATTTAAAAGAAAAAAAGTTCTTTAATGTGACAAATATTACTAACTCATTTTAAAAAGGATAAATGGCAGGCTAGTTAACAAGCACATGGAAGAAAAATTCTCCAGAGCTGATAGAGAAGAAATAAATAAAGAGAAGGGCTGCTGGGTCCTGTGTGCTTTCTGTGTGTCTGGCACCGGTCTGGACACTATAATAACTCAGCAACACCACTCACAGGCACCCTCTGTAATGCAGGACTGTGCTTAGCTCTTCACATATTTCACCCTTATGATGCTCCCCAGTCTTGGGTATTCTCATTGCTGCAGTTTTATGGTAAGACCAAAGTGAGAGGCGCTATAAACAACAAAATTCATAGATGGAGAACTGGACCTAAACCCAGCTCTTAACCACACAGTGGGACAAATGGCACTGCACGTACCAGAGTGATAGGTTGTGGGAAAGTCCTCCCAGGCTGCCTGTTTGCAATGGCTTACATGGGTGGATGGGAAAGGGAAAACAGTACCATAAGGTGGGCATGAAAACTCATTTCAGGTGGGATATGGCTCAAGTGCTGGAATACCTGCCTACCAAGCATGAGGTCCTGAGTTCAAAGCCCAGTCCCACCAAAAAAAAATTAAAATTAAAAAAAAAGTAAAATTTTTGAACAAAAATAATTTCACTAGAAATAGAATTATAGATATTATAAACAGAAAGAATTGTAGAAGGCTTCTATTTATGACCACTTATTTGAGATCTCGGAAAACTAAGGAACAGATGTACCCAAAGCCATACAACTAGTTAATCCCAGACCTAGGATTGAAACTCCATCTCCCAGGCCAGAGCATAA